AGTTAATCGGCAATATTCTGTTAAAATATATTTTTTTTATTATTATTTATTAAAATTAAAATGTATCAACATATTAAATGTTACAACAAGTTAGTTATAATTTTCTAAATAACAATAACAATAACAATTTAATTTAGTTATATATATATATATATATATATATAATATATTGTGTGTTTGTGTTTGATGTACGGAATATGTGGTGTGTGTGTGTGTTATGGAGTAGGAGTTATAGGGAGTGTTATTTTGTTTATTAGGGATGTTAAAACAGTAAGAAGGGGGTTAAGTATAGATTTTGGTTCGTCGAGGAATTTGGTGATGATGTGTAGAGATTGATCGGGTGGTGGTTTGTTAACTGCGATTTCGGCGTATGACGGTTTTCCTTTTGAGTTTGAACTGGGGGCTTCATTTCCACTTCTTCGAGATGGGTTAAAATATTAAATTTAGAAATTACAAAGGTCATAAACTTTATATCCAACTAACCTATGTTATTTTTATCATTTTCAGTCGACACCAAAAAATGTATAGATTATTTGTTTATACTTCTAACTTTGCCTATCTRATGAAATTGGTTTAAGTGAATTTGAATAATTATAACGTTTGAAGAAAATATAATACATAAATATTCATCTTTTACATTCTAATTATTAATTATTTTAGTTGATAAACAATGTAATTATAAGGGAAATTGTATAGGTAATCAAAATGCAAAAATTAATTAAGAAATGAATATAATGGATCATACTTCCATAAATTAAAGTCTTATGATGAGTATATTATCACAAATCTCTTCGGTTCATTGGCCTTATTATTCAATATCTTTTAAATATTAGATACGTTAACTCTCACAAATACAACAAAAATTATAAATTTATTAAGAAAAAAAAAAAATACAAAAATGAATATTCTAGAATAATTAAATTAATTTGATGAAATAAAATAGGTATAATTTGAACTTTTTGATTTATATTTAATAGTTTTTAATAGTTTTGTTAAACGTCCAAACTGTACATTCTGAATGAGAAACGGCGCACTGACGTAGAACATAAAATTTTAAGTGGTTTAATGTTTAATACCGTTTTCTTAACATTGTAGTATAATATTTATATWTTTTTTTCGTTTTGTTTCAATTTGTGAAACTGTGAAAGATAATTTATATGCTAAGCGATTGACTGAAAATGAAAAAAAAAACTATTTTCAGATAGATGCGAAAGTGGCAAAGGCTAAATAAAAGTAAAATAATACAAACGTTAAGATTAACCCGACGCAAGAGACAGTATACACAATAAAAAGCTTATGGATAAAAATAAACGTTGGGAATGCGATTCTCATTCGATTTAAAAACAAAATGTATAAGCATTATGTAAAATAAATGTTAGTTTTTAGAGATTCGACAATGTGAAATTACATTATTRTACAATTTATTATTGTCAAAGGATATTTATATGGGGAAAATAAGTACAAATCACATCCGAATGAAATGTATGAGTATAGATATACGAATAAATTTATGCTCAGACTACTTTGTGCTAAAATACCTACCTACGCACGTTAAAATATATCATTGTAATTTGTGTGCTTATAGGTATAATCTGAAGCTATTGGGATTGTCGTATTGCTTATTATCATAATAGTGCATTGATCGGCTGTTAAACCGTTCTACGACTACCTGCTCTTTATACAACCATTTAGTTAGTAGCTTATATAMGTATTTATTACCAATATTATAATATTAGTGTCATAAAATAAGATTTAATTGTCTCTCAACAAACAAATCTACAGACTCAGGTCATCTATATTTGTTTTTCATGAAAACTCATCTTCCTCATTTATATTTAATTTTACTATCATTTTTATCAAGAAATTCAAGGTATTACTTATAATAAACAAATAAAGAAAATAGTTTTATTTTTAACTAGCTGAATTGCCCGTTTTTGCCGGGTTTATTAATTGCTATTATCTGGTAAATTAAATATTGTCCAGTTAAATTAAATTTATATAATATTGTTAATAATATTTCTCTATAAACTATATTAGCTGTAATTTCTGTTGGTGTCAAAATAAGTAAACTCGTGCGCATTCTCTTGAATTGGAAAGGATAATCTGATGGTATCATTGGTATGCGAGGAATAGGAACTGATTCATCTTTTGTAGATCCAGTCATAATAACAGCTTCAATCAAATTCTTTTGTACACTAATAATCCGTAGAGGTGTCCATTGCATAATTTTGGTGTTTTGCAACATTTCGGGTTTTCCTGAGTATTTTGAATCAAACTGCCATGCAAATGGTATACTTGGCCTTTAACTTTAAAAAATGGCATAACACCTTCTTCAACAACTTGTTTAGCACMAAACGATGTCATTGTTCTTAAATGACATCATAACCTAACCATTATACTTCCTTGTACGATTAAAATTGAGCGATTGTGATCACTGATCAGGATGGTCACCCATGAGTAAACGTAACGACTCTAGTGGCTGTAGCAAGATATCGAGTTTTGTTCTACCTAAATTGCAGCACATACCAGTTGTTTTGCCTTTCCATTTGAGAGCGTTACAAAATGTACAATTTTGGTTCATAGTTCCAATATAAATTTTATAATCAATTGTGGTATCATATGCAAGACCGGTTAATGTAATAATTTTCAGAACAAAAAATGGTTTCTTGTCTTTTTTTAGCTACCTTGACTTGGTTACTTCGACTTAAAGGTCTATCTATACATCTAGCACGGCAGCGCTTCTACTTTTATTAATTAAATTGTCCTTGACATTAACATTATTACATTATTACTAATAAACAAATCGCTCTGTGAAGTAAAAATTAAATTTTCTGTAAAATTAGGTATATTAGAAATAGATACATAAACATCAAAATACCCACTATTAATATTTCCAGATAGATGCAATATTTTTACTGGGAATGTATCTACACCAAATTTGGCATAAAAATTATTATTATAATACATTTCAAATACATATGGGAAAGTTGTTGTCATATTAATTGTTAATAAATAATAAACATAAAAATTGTCACCATATTAATTGTAAGACATATTAACAAAGGTATTCTAATTATCAGAGATATACACAACAATTGTATTGCGGATTTCCTGTCATCTTTCTTGAGTCTTATATAAATGRAAAAATGAAAGGAAATTGAACGAAAAAGGCAGGCACTATTATCGATAATTGGTACGATTATTTGAGATGTCAACATTCCATTCACTGTAATTTCTTCAATAGATGATATAATAATCTATAATAAATAATATTTTATGCCCATATTATATTGCCAATGACAACCTCTAATCAGTAATAATAATAATTTAATAATATAAATAAATATAATATTAATAATATTAGATATTGCTTGATAGATGGCGCCACTATTGTATACTTACAACCAGTTAATTTTACCTTTAGGGGTTGAATTTCCGAAAATTCTTTCTTAAAGCACGGTGAAATTATAATATTAATTCATCCTGAAAATTTCAAGCAGATCTGCCCTGTGGTTTGGGCGCTACGATGATCCCGTGCACTTCGTAGCCCGTTAAAAATTCTATCTCTTTTATGGCCCATAGTTCATATTGTGTGTTAAATTAATTTCATGTGAGATGCCATCAGTATATTTTTATACATAATGATAGATAGTGGTTAAAATATATTATAATCTTACAACGATATTCAATTACGTATATCATTATGTAATTTTCTTCGTTTTTTCAATATAATGTTGACAATTTAAATATTCAATTCAATAATATTTAGGCATAACACTTTCTAACTTACCATATCTTCTGCCGATATGTCTAATAAAATTCTGTACCAAATTTTGTCACAATCAGTCCAGCTGTTTAAGAATGCATATAGGACTAACAGATAAATATATGTATATAATATAACCATCACTAATAACACAGAACAATAATAACCGTCACTARAGCAACCATTTATAAATAAACAAAAATGTCCATCCTAAAAATAATTCCAGCTGCTCTCGAGAGCACTTGTTTGTTTAAATGGTTGCCTTTGACTACCAAAACATATTAATATTATTTATTTWATTTTTTACTGGGCAGATGGCGCCACTTTAATTTCATCACACCCTCATCATATTTCTCTAACCCGAYAACTTTYTCAAATTTTTCATCCGTWAGAACCTTCTCCTGGCAATTACGACCCAAACAAAAAAAGAGTGAGCGAAATCGGTTCAGCTGTTTTCAATTGATAAATTGTTATACATTTTTGTCTCCATTTTTATATATATAGAAATAAGAAGATTTATCTGTCATAAGAAGATTATTTTTGTTTTAATTCAATAGTTTGTAACATTGTCAAAATCTTTAATTGAATTCGTATACTCACTGCCCAATAAAACAATATATTGACTTAAATTTAAATTAATTATTCACTCGTTCCAAAATCAAATAATAATTTGTTTTTCTTGAGGGTTAAATTTAAAACTTTTATGTAACAGTGACGTTCAATTTCGTATCTAGATGTTTTTATTTTAAATAAAATTAATATTTTGTATAAACTTTAACTTAAACTTAAATTACTTAGGCACATATAAACTAAAATCTATTTGCATTTAAAATTTTGTTTGAAATATAAACCTATTGATATACGAGTAACTACCTATTATTATATTTATATTTTATGATGAAATTGTTATATATTTTTTTGTAATTTCATCACTTTATTAGACTTATTAATAAGTAATGCATTTAACAACGAGGAGAAAAAAATAATAATTTACAGGAATAATCCCATGCCATTATATTGATTACTAGACAAATTATTATTATTGTTGTTATTGTTATTATTATTTTGTTTTTACCTAAAGGTTTAAAAACCGTAAAATACGAAATGGAATTCATAAACGCAATGCRATAAATTATTTATAATATATTATATCTTTTGTTAAACATCATAACATCCCAAAACTACCAGCATTGTTCTTTATATCTTGTATGTGAAATAAATTAAAATTACACAGTCATAATATTTGCAGGTAACGCGTTGGTGATTGCAGCAATTTTGTTGGAAAGGAATTTACAAAACGTGGCCAACTATCTCATTGTCTCTTTAGCGGTCGCCGATTTAATGGTAGCATGTTTAGTCATGCCCTTAGGAGCTGTTTATGAGGTATGTGCCGTATGATTCAATAATTTAATTTAATGTCGATTTTAATAAGTTTTTTAGCCCTTCAGTATCATACATGTTGAATAAACAAGTAAATAATGACCGTCCGATATGTTGACACGTATTACATACTCTCATTGCTTTTATAGTATTATAAAGTATATGAATCATAATATCATCAGAACATCAGTATATCACCATAATGTTACCCAGTAATACAAAGTATTGTTACAATGCGACTTATAAGGCCAATAAATTACTTATGAAAATGAAAAACATGTACCTATTTATCACTCAAGTTTAAAATTGTAAAATATGCGAGTTATAACCATAGACCTTATACCACAGATCTACAAAGATGCATTTACTAATTTAAACATTTCACAAAACACTGGGGACCACAAAAAATCACATTAATTTTAATTTTACAACAAACGATTTGTTATATTATATTATTAGAGATTAAAATTAATTTAATAAAATAATATATATATATAATTTTTTTTAAATTTTATTTGGTTTATACAATCTGTTCCTTTACAAACAAATAACAATAAGAATATATGATAACAGAAAATAGATACATAATTATTTGATGGGAGGAAGCGACTCAGTGGTAACACTACTCTTACTTGAGATTTAATTTTAATTTTATATATATTAATATTTTAGATTAAACAGTGAGAATGTCTCTACACCACTTCCTAATAAAATAATATAATTAATAAAATAGATATAATTTATTACGATTAGATGGTGATACTATGGCCAAATATCACCATTTTACACCACCTACTTGTTGTATTTTTAATATACTTTTTACATAATATGTTTTCTAAGGAGCCAAAAAAATATCTAGGTGCCTGCGAATTGGACCTTTCTGAGAACATTATGCTTATTTAATTGTATGTGAAAATAAAATATGAAACCTTTATCATACAAAATAACATGGTTTGTATTATTATTTTTTTTAAATAATAATGTGGAAACCGACGATATAAAAAATGATAATARATAAAAAAGTTTATAAAATTCGATAACTTAACTCAATAACAAAATATTTGGGAAACTTGTCGATAGTAATAGTGATGTTTGAAATACATTTATAGAAGCGATTTTCTAGGAATTAAAATAATTTAATCATTTTTGTTCACCATCAATCAGAGATCAATATAACCAATTTCTACATTATTTCGGATCACGAAGTCTATCTGATTGACAATTCTAGTTAGGTACGGTTGTATTAGATGAATAATATAAGCCCTGCGGAGTTTGTTCTTCAGCCACCACCTCCTATTACCACAGCCGAATGATCCATCAGATAAAACTGTAGACGCCTTTATTTTTTTTTTTATGAAATAAAAATTTCTTTGAAAGATGTAATACATTGATCGTAAATCTTGTCACACCCGCGGAGATGATTATCCCCCAAGCTGTATGTATTACGTATTCGAGTCAAGTACACCCGCAAACTATATCTCAAGTTCGGAAAGTTTCACCATTCCAGGACAATGGCCTTATGCGTAGAGGCATAAAAGACCGCTCATTGCTGGTATGCGTGATAAATTTCCTTCAAAGATACGTATGTTGAGAAATAAATATAAATAATGCATACATACATGTCGTATATTGCAAATAGWATAGGTATATATATCATCATTGCATTTTTTTTTTTTACACAAATAACACTTGGAACGGTGATGGCTGTTCAACTTTTTCTTATAAAATTTTATTTAGACATTTATTTGAAAAGTTTCTAACAGTTTAACAGAGCTTTTACATTTTATCCGTGTAGTATATCTTTAAAACTATATTTTGGTGAATATCCGCCCCCTCCCCCCCAAAAAAAAAAAAAAAATTAATAAATTTTAAATTTTAATATAACTTTCTCAAAAATGATATTATATGTATTAAACACTTAACTAAATTTTTTTTTATTTTGAACCAATATTATGTAATAATATCTATTAAAAAAATTTTTCTAATATTATGTATTTATCATACCTTAAATAAGAAAAATTTATTAAGGTGWTAAAATGTTTAGTTGTATGAACTTTATGTAGATAGTCATACACTCTTATAGTATAATTCCACTAACTGTTTATATGTACATTGCGCATTACAAATCAAGCAAACGGATTAGATAGAAGAGTGCTTAAAAATATTAAATATTAATCGGTCACTTAGATATCTATGGGTAGTTTATAAACTGTTTATTATCAAAAATTCATTTTTCAGTCATTTATTTGAAGACGGTAAAAGTCTAAGCGTGATTCATACGAGTTTCGGAAAAAAATGGAAGTAAATAAAAAGCAACGTAAATTAAATAAAATTTAAAAAACCATATGGAAGAGAAAGTGAAAACCCATTTTGTAAATATTATTATTAATTTATTGTATTAAATATTAGTAGGTACATATTGTTAAAGGTATATAATAAGTCATATGAAATAATATTACATTTCATCCATACATAGGTACAATATCAAATTGTTTGCGTTACATTTAAATATTAAAATTGAAAATGAACATAAAATTAAAATTAAAATACTTAAGTTAGTAATTATTACAAATAGTTTATAAAAAAAAA